TAAACTTGGTGGCATTTGATTTATAATAGGCTTATAATCAGGATGGAATGTAGGTATTTGCGCATATAAATCAATAATCTCTTCAATGTCTGCCATTTAGTAATGAAATTACTACACTTAATCTGTGTAATGTTCAAGTGTTTGAGAATGCTGATCAGTTTTTTGCAAGCACAATAAAAAAACGTATGCTGAGCCAGAGACGAATTATGCGCAGTAGCCAAAAAAAAAAGAAATATTACAGTACACATATACATACATAAAATCCTCACCCGTACATGCATTAAAAAAATAAAGCCTATACTATAGGCGAAACTTTATTGATATTCGAAAAAATAAAAAAAACTACATCACAACAGTCTGTCACTGCGTCACATGACTTGTGGCGGGCGTAGTATTCCCATAAATGATTTTTATACTTTTGCGGATCAGATCCATACATACAGTACTTTCTACGTTAGCCAAAATGTCTAAAGAATTCATTTCTGAGGAACTTGAGGAACTTGAGGAACTCGAGACACTACTCCCTTCACATTACGAACTAGATAGGGATAAACTTGAAGTGACGCATGTTGACGGTGTACCTATTACTATTGAAGATTTCGAAGAACTCGCGACAACACTCCCTTTCCCTCTTAAGCTGGAACTAACTGATGATAAAATTGTAATGATACCTGTTCACAATCTAACTGGTATGCTATTTTTTGTTGGAATGTCAACAAACGTTTCTTTTCCATGTTGAATTATGATATAATAAAATAGCACAAAGAGAGGCTGATCTTATTACTGAAGTTACCATATGGTGCTGAAATAACCCTGGACTCGTTGGACGGTACGGAAGTAGCCAAGTATGTTTTGCGAATTATCATGAGAACTTTTCTTCACGCCCGCTCTAATATTATGTTCTTCTGAAATAAATTAAACCGTAGATATGTTATTACTTACCTCTGCCTACTCAAACTGTTCATGGTCTGGATGCTTCCGTCGTCCTCGCAACAAGGTTCTTTCTCATTATATAAATGGTTTGCATGTATGTACATTCTTTTTTAACCCTTTTTATTGCAGATGGAATGCATTATCGCCCAATGATCAAAATAAGGCGTTTCCTACAGTTTCTCCGAATTTTGTTGCAGAGATACGTTCAAGTAGTGATTCTGAGGATTATTGTCACCAAAAAATGTTAGACTACATAAATGCAGATGTTGAAGTAAGTGACTAATAATTGTTTATTTGTTGATTATATTTATTGTGTTATTTCTATTAATTATTATGGTTATTTTTATCTAGGAGGGTATTTTAATTGACCCTATCAATCGAACTCTAACAATTTATCGAGTTGATAGAAACGGTGATATCGTCTGGAACACGCGAAGAAATACTCGTACCTTTACTTTTCAAATTCTTAATGGATTCGTCTTAAACTTGCAGGGTATTATTTAAAGTTAGATGGTTAATCAGGTACTGGAGGAAGCAAAAAATGGCTAAATTTCGATATCAATTTTTCTATTTACTGCGAAGCAAAATAATATTTTCACGTGTGAAGTAAGGTAAAAAATTCAAGGGGAGGGATTTAACATATATAAGCAAAAAATAATATTATCATGTAATATATAATGAAATCCAAATAAAATTATGCGCAACAGTAATTGCATTAAAATTCACATGATTTGGGTGACATAAGGACGCTGAAATTTTGCCAAGAAAAGATGATCCGCGTTGTTATGGTATCACCAAATGACCCGTCCCAGAAAAAAGCCAATAAAATTTTATTATCTGATATATACCATACATGAATATATATTTGCGAAATCGACCATCAGGATCACTTTACTGATACAGAAAAAATAACAATACATGAAAAAATATTAAGGAATTCTAATCTCGCATAGGTGAAGAAATTGTAGAGCTTTTTTCTACATTGCGATTTGATCTTTTTAAA